TTTTTTTTGTAGTTTTTGCGTACTGTTTTTTTGTTTTCGGTGAACTGAGTAAAAGACAACGACAGGCTGATGAGACTGTTGAAGAATCTCAGCTATTTGCTGGAATTGAAAAGCACAAACGGAACTCTATACATAAAATTGTTACGGAAGGCAACTGCTCACATGATGTAAGAGATATGGGCATTAAAAACTACTGCAGTTCTCTTTTGAAATGTTCATAGATTTTATATTTTTTCTAGTTCTTTGGATTTTTCGACGGTAATTATAACTTATTTAGGTAGTAGTGCCGGCTGATCAAGATTTTATACCTCTTAGGTCTCGTACAACGGAGCCAGCGAAAAGTTATCCGTTTGTTCTTGATGCATTCCAGAAGGAAGCAATTAACTGCATTGATAATTCTGAATCAGTTTTGGTTTCAGCGCACACATCTGCTGGAAAAACAGTTGTTGCATTGTATGGACTGGTTTTGTTTTATTTTTTTTATCTTACAGAACACAAAAGTAATTTGCAGGTATGCTATTGCTATGGGCTTGAGGGAGAAGCAACGCGTGATATATACTTCACCAATCAAAGCATTGTCAAATCAGAAGTTTAGGGAACTACAGGAAGAATTTTCAGTTAGTATTTGCTTCCAAAGTTTTTGAATGACTACATTATTTATTGTAGATCATCTTGTTTTTTATTTATATTTTTTCCCCTTAGCAAAGTGGCCGAGTGTACTTAATATTTGCTTATCTTAGGATGTTGGCTTGATGACGGGAGATGTTACGCTCAATAGCGAGGCATCAGTGTTGGTTATGACAACGGAAATTTTGCGTTCCATGTTATATAGGGGTTCTGAAATCATGCGTGAAGTAGGTTGGGTAGTATTTGATGAAATCCATTACATGCGCGACAAAGGTATGTTTTCATTTTTCTTTCACTAGTTTTTCTTAATGCAGAATCTTGCTTCCGGTTTTAGAGCGTGGAGTTGTTTGGGAAGAAACAATAATTTTATTACCAGACAATGTGCATTACGTTTTTTTGTCTGCTACAATACCAAACGCTCAACAGTTTGCAGGTAATTTTTGAAAATTTTATTCTAGTAGAGTTTACTAGAAACTTTTTTCGCAGCATTTTCTAGTTTTCTTCCAGAATCTTTTGAAATTTCAAAATTTTGCTTAGAAAACAGCAATGTTTTTGTATATAATTTAGTCCTAAGAAATTTTTGAAGTGTGTCATTAGTAAAATTAATGCCTTCCTCTGATTTGGCTTTTTAGATTGGGTGGTATTTTTACACCATCAGGCAGTTCATGTTATTTGCACTGACTATCGTCCAGTACCGTTACAGCACTTAATATTTCCTGCCGGAGGAAGCGGGCTTTACGAAGTAGTGAATATACAGGTAAATTCCTGATCGTTTAAATTATTATTCGCTGTTTTCTATTTGTTCTGGTTTTAGGGTACTTTCCAAGAAGACAAGTTTGCGGAAGCAATGAGTTTCCTCCAAAAATCTGGTGATGCCGGGGGTGACGGACATAAACGTCGCGGAACTTCTGGTTAAATTTTGTAGTTTTGCTTTCTTTGGCTACCACCAACTCTTAAATTTATTGTAGAAGGTTTAAGGTGCTTCGGATGTAGTGAAAATTATTCGAACCATTTATGAACGTGATATGATCCCTTCCATTGTTTTTTCGTTCAGCCGGAGGGAGTGTGAGGCATATGCAACGCAATTAACCGATATGGACTTTAATGATGGTTTGATAATTTCACTGACCTCAATTATGATATTTGAAATCCGTGACTTATGTTGCTATCTGTTTTTCAGAGCAATCAAAGAAGTTAGTTAAAGAGATTTACTTGAATGCTGTTTCACTTTTGTCTGACGAAGATAAAAAGTTGCCTCAGATAGGCCGTGTTTTACCATTTCTTTTGCGCGGAATAGGTGTTCACCATTCTGGCTTACTTCCTATAATTAAAGAAGTGATTGA